ATGAAAGTGTGTGTGTGTGTGTGTGTGTGTGTGTGTGTGTGTGTAAATAATAATAATAATAATAATAATAATGTATTATTATTATTAAATATTTTTATAATTTTATATTGTGCATATTTTAATACATTTGTAATGTAAATATATTTTAAATGTATATATGCGTGTAATACATGGTTCTATTTTTTACAAAATATTTAAAATTATGTAATACACATTTTTATAAATATTTTTAGATACGCACAAAAATAACAGTCTAACTACAAGTTTTCAATTCTCTTGGCGGCTCAGCTAAGAGGCTTTCATGGTCTTTGGGTTCTTATTAAAGTTGTTGATGCAGAGACAAGGCCCAAGTAACCTTAGATCAAGACCTGCCATCATGAGCGTCACGGGTTTGGCTGATCATTGACTGGTGTCTACAAAGAGCTGCACGCCAGCTCTCGGCACAGTCGCCGCTTCAGCACATATTTATGTGAAATCTAACCGTCCTGAGTCCCGAGCGTCCATTCCTTCCCATCTGCCTCGGCTGCAGGCGTGTTTGCATGTGAAGCGTCTCATGTCGCAGCTCTCGTGAGACGCCGCTCTATTCATCTGTCACAGCAGAGAATTCACAGTGTGTTTAAAGCACTGCGAACGCTGCGGGAGCAACATCAGCCTGTTTGTTTAAGTCGAGTAATTTATAGACACCATTAAAAGAATTATGAATGTGCATGATATTTATAGCAGCAAATGCTAATTAACGACAAGTCAAAGAGGGAACGATCAGTTCCGCCTCTTGTCAGCCTCTTGGGTTTATAGTGATAACAGTAAGATATAAATGACTGGAAAAGGAAAACTTGTCAAGAACGACTTTGAATATTGACATGACAAAACCTTGCCTAAAAGTAAAAAATAAAAAATTGTACCTTTATTTTCAAACTAGATTTTTTTTAATTCAAAAGTTTAAATGTTTGAATGCTGTGATGTGTACTTGCATTGCTATTTAAATAAATAAATTGTAGATTAAAATTAATAAGTAAATAATTAGATTAAAACAAACAAATAAATAAAGCAAACAAACTAATAAATAAATGCATAAAAATATAGATTTATTTATAGATAGATACATATTGATTCAAATAAAACCATGAAAGTTAGATTTGAGTGAGTGAGGGATTATGATGAGTATAAAAACAATGTAACTTAATATAAACTAAATATAATTAGGCATATTTGTGATCTGCATTATTATAGTATTATTTATATACCTTTATAGTCATTATAAATGTTTTTGAATTGGCTTTTAGTTGTATAGTTTCGGTTTTCATTTTATTTTATTTATTAATTTTTTTCAATTTAGAATTTTTCATTTCTATTTTTTTTTTAACATTACTATTTAGGTTCACTTTATTTCTGTATTTTTAAAAGTTTTTCAGTCACTGCACTGATGAAAGGCCCTGCAGAAAAAGAGCTAGTATTATTTATATACCTTTATAGTCATTATAAATGTTTTTGAATTGGCTTTTAGTTGTATAGTTTCGGTTTTCATTTTATTTATTAATTTTTTTCAATTTAGAATTTTTCATTTCTATTTTTTTTTTAACATTACTATTTAGGTTCACTTTATTTCTGTATTTTTAAAAGTTTTTCAGTCACTGCACTGATGAAAGGCCCTGCAGAAAAAGAGCAAATTGTTTATGTTGTGTAACTTAAGTAAACTAAAAAAAAAAAAAAATGAATGTGCTATTTAAAAACAACTGAGAGATAATGATATTGTATATGTAGGTTTTATGGATTAGCGAAATGAAAAATAATTTTCACTTAGATTGCTCATCAAAGAACAAAACAACACTAGCTAATTAAAGCAGAATCTGCATCAAAGCCACATATGCTAGAAAAGTCACATGACTGCAGGTGGTTCCTTGCTAATTGCTGTAATTCGTATAAGACTCCTTTTATATGAGAAAACGTGAGTCATAATTTTTCATTTGTTCCACAGATGTCTTTATTTATAACCGCACTTTCATCGAGCGATTCTCTGCCTCGTATAATTAGTTCCTTCCTGTACGCCGCTGTAAAAGTCTCATTAAAGAAGAGGCAGAAGTGGCCTGATAACACTCTCCCTCTGTCTAATTAATGGTCTTCCTGCAGCCGCTGAGCTGACAATGAACCGCTCGCTTCTCAACCAGCCATCTGCTTTAACTCAGTGCTGTTATGTGAGGGGAAAAAACATAAACTAACACATTTCAGCATCACTAATACTGTTAATACTGTTCATTTCTGGGGTTAGTGATAAGATTTGTTCTCCAGACATGACTGATTCCTTCAATCATGTGTCTTGTTGAGGAGAGTTGTGCTGAAAAAACATATCATCTTACTCATTTTTGACTAATTTTCCAGTGCAAATATCTAAATATTCTTAAAAAAAACACACATATATATATATATATATATATATATATATATATATATATATATACACACATACCTGTGTGTATAAATATACATATATATAAAATTCATAATATAATAAATCTGTTTGTAAATAAATAGAGTGGAAAAAAAACTATCATATAACTTAATAGAATAAAATTTATTTTTTTCTTACTCAATATTTTTGTCTTGGTTTCCAGTACAAATATATAAAAAAAATCATAAATAAATATATTAATTATGTATTAATATATTAATGTGTATGTGTGTATAGTGAAAGTGTATATATTTATTAAATTATTAAATAAGATTTTTTATATTAATAAGATTTAAACAATCAAATATAAATAAAAAACAAATAATATACTGTGTGTGTGTGTGTGTATATATATATATATATATATATATATATATATATAATACAAATATTGCTTTTTATTAAATATCCTTTATTAATACCATTTAATAATATTCAAATGTATACACATTCAAATTCCAAAGTGTGTGTATAATTTTTAAATAAATAATTGTTTTTAAATAATAACATCATAATACTTAAATATTAAAAATGTATAAAATATGTATTAATCTTATTAAATGTCATTTAAAATATTGAATAATGTAATATGCTCACTTTCACAATAAAATACATTCTTTAAAATATGTATGATATATACACATACATGCATACATACACACATTTGCTCAATTTTCATATAATAATCCCCCTAAAAACATATCGATTCCACAACTGCACCGCTGATTTCTTCAACTGGATGTGGATGTGTTAATGTGGGCTCTGGATTGATCCTCGTCTAATCCCGGGACGCGCTCACAGACGTGGGGAGCGCTGAGTATATTTGGATTTAGCAAAATGATACAAGAGCAGGATTTGACTGAGGAGCCGAGCAACCCAGATTCCAGCTCAGATGCTGAGGACCTGTGGGAGACATCAGGAGATTGCCTGTTAGAGGGTGAAAATTGAGCAGGGAATGAGCCGCGGTCGCGCTCACTGACTGAGACCATTAGGAGTCTTAATGGAGGAGCAGAAAACGTGTTTGGAGCCGGCAGTGGAGTCTCGCTTATCTACTGCGCATTTAACAGATACTGGCTGTAGAAGATTCTCTATAGAGAAGTTTATCTCGTCTGCCTCACTGAAGGGAAACGCTGGAAACACCTCACGAGCAAAACCCTGCAGCACAGAAACATGCATAAATTAAAGAAGTATTTCAGAGTATTTTCACATTAATGTCTATAGAGAGTCGACTGCAGCAGGCAGGTGCGCCGGAAGCTTTCATGCAAGAACCTCAAGATTGTTCTTCTATTAAAGCATTTAAAAGAACTGCTTGTTTTTTGAGCTGTACAGTTGGTTATACAGACATTTTAATCATTCAGCATCGTCCAATTTCATCGTATGATCTCACAGTAAAAGTACCACACTGCAAAAAAATTATTTTTACATCGACACATTAACTTGAGAAGCAAGATTACAGAAGATGAGTCTCAGAAGTGTTGTTTTCTGAAAAATCTATCAGTTTATGCTTAAAACAAGTAAAAATAGCTGCCAATTGGGTCAAAATAATAATAATAATAAAACTTGATTTCCACTTGCTTCTGAATTAAATGTGTCTTAATAAATAATGCATAAGTTGTACTGAAAAACGAGCAAAAATACAGTGATTTTAAAAAAAAATATTTATATTAATTACATTAATTTCTTTTTTTAATATTATTTAAATCTTACTATTGTATTTAATAATATAAAAATATTTTTTATTACCATATTTTGACTTCAAAATGTGCACAAGTGTTATGAAAATAATGTTGTGAAATGCAAGATATGTTTTATATTTATTTATTTATATATGATCATTTAAATATTGTTACATAAAAACTATTATGTAATCATTTAATAAATGTATACACGCACTTTAAAATTATAAGTATGATAGTTATGAACTCTATTTTTATATTGTAGAATTAAATGTTATTCATTAAAAATTTATAAAAATAATAGTTTATTTATTTACATTTGATTATTTAAATATTTCTTTAAAATATTTATTAATATATTTTATATTTAATAAAATATTTATATTTTATATTTAATAGCAAGAAATTATTTGATAAGAAATCATAATGGTCCTTAATTTTCTGTATTCTATGTATAAATTGTTTTTTTCTTCTTGAAATAGGAGTGGGACACTATTTGTGACGATCAGCCATGCACATTTTTTACAGTCCCTTTGTACTTCTGTTTAAATGCTAGTTTAAATGCTAGAGTTGGAATAAATAATTTTTTCCCAGGGCCAGTAAAGAAACTCATCCAACCCTCACAATATTCTCTAATTTTCTTGATGCTTTATCAGGCGTGACGTGGAAGCTCACTGATATGAGCCATGGGCATCGTTTAAAGATCCATGGGTCACGTCTACATATGAGTGCTGTTAGTGGGTTTGGGTGTTTGTAAAACTTTTAACCCTTCATATGAGCAGTCAGAATCGAATAGAGCATTATTCTCTCTAAAAAGGCACTTTGAACTGTGCTCTTTCTAATGTTCCAGGATAAATGGCATTTCATTTTCTCTCCAGGTACGACACCATCACTAACCAGTGGGAGATGGTGGCTCCTTTGCCCAAACCCGTCCATTCTGCGGCAGCGACTGTCTGTGGGGGGAAGATCTATGTGTTTGGAGGGGTGAACGAGGCCGGCCGCTCTGCTGGAGTACTTCAGTCATATGTGCCTCAAACCAACGCCTGGAGCTTTATTGAATCGCCCATGATCGGTAAGAGCGCTCGGGACAGTTACTGAAGTGCAAACTGTGCTCCTCACCTGCTGTCTTCTGCGTATGGGAGCTTATGTGTTATATACACTACTGCCCGAAGGGTTTGGGGTCAGTATGAATTATTATATATTATACAGTAAAGACACTGATAATGTTACAAAAGATTCCGATTTCAAATAAGTACCGTTCTTGTGAAATTTTTACTCATTGAAGAATGCTGACAAATCACAAAAATATGAAGCAGCACGACTGTTTTCAACATTGATAATAATCAGAAAGGTTTCTTGAGCAGCAAATCAGCATATTAGAATGATTTCTGAAGATCATGTGACGCTGAAGACTGGAGTAATGATGCTGAAAATTCAACTTTGCGTCACGGAAATAAATTAAAATTTTAAAATATATTCAAATAGAAAACGGTCATTTTAAATTGTAGTAATATTTCCCAATATTACTGTTTTTATTGTGTTTTTAATCAAATAAATGCAGAAAAGTCTTCTTTCAAAAAAACATGCCAAGCCAAACTTTTGAACGGTAGTGCATTAATATAAATATACAGAAATATAAAAAGACCCCTACTCATCTATAAAATTAACTATTTTGGTTTATAAAATGTTCAAGCATCATGCATGAATAATCCCAGGTCCCACATCAGATGCATTTTATTCCTAAAGTTCTATATTAGACAGTTTTGAAACTGAGAAACTATAACTTCATGGGATTTCACTAGTATTTCATTAGTATTTGTCATTTTGACACGCACCAGAGATCTTGAGCTTGTGGGTGGAGGGACGCTCAAGGGAGAAGGAACTTTTTTCCAAACTGTGTCTCAGTGGTGAATGCAGCACTGAGGGACACGCAGCGGGAGCAGGACTCAGGCGTTTCATTACAGCTGGAAAAGCAAACGTTTCCCCATTAGTGCAGAAATAAGTGTGGATTTAAAAAAGGACACACAGCTGCACTCAAACTGCCCTGAAACCAGCTTCGTCTGCCATCTTTAGTCAGGAAAATCTGTTATTTTGGATATCCACCTGACTGCTGCAAGCCTTTCTCAGAGACACATTTGACGTTTAATATATACGGGAACACCTTACAATAAGTAGTTAACATTAAATAACAGTGAAAAATACTTCTGAAGCATTTATTCATCTTAGTAAATGTTAATTTCAAAAGTTGTATCTGTTAATATTATTTAATGGACCTGAGCTAACATGAACTAACAATAAATAGTTGTATTAAAGATGAATAAATACTGAAACAAATGTACTGCTCATTGTTAGTTAATGTTAGTTAAAGGGTTAGTTCACCCAAAAATGAAATTCTGTCATTAATTACTCACCCTCGTGTTGTTCCAAACCCGTAAGACCTTCGTTCATCTTCGGAACACAATTTAAGATATTTTTTATGATATCTGAGGGCTCTCTGACCCTCCCATAGACAGCAAGGTAACTACCACGATCAAGGTCCAGAAAAGTGCCAAGATGATCGACAAAGTAGTCCGTGTGACATCAGTGGTTCAACTGTAAAGTTACGTTTATCATTACCAGTCAGCGCCGCACACGCTCGCGTCATGATACTGTCGTGAACGCATGTCTACAAGTGACGCAGTAGAGACAAAAACGTGGAATAAAGTTATTATTTTTGTTTTCTTTGCGCAAAAAAGTATTCTCGTAGTTTCGTAACTTTACAGTTGAACCACTGATGTCACACGGACTACTTTGTCGATCATCTTGGCACTTTTCTGGACCTTAATCGTGGTAGTTACCTTGCTGTCTATGGGAGGGTCAGAGAGCCCTCAGATTTCATCAAAAATATCTTAATTTGTGTTCCGAAGATGAACGAAGGTCTTACGGGTTTCGAACAACACGAGGGTGAGTAATTAATGACAGAATTAAAATTTTGGGGTGAACTAACCCTTCAATGCATTAACCAGTGTTAACTAATGCAACCTTATTGTAAAGTGTTAACATATATTTGGTTATGTGGGTCGATTTTGGACCAATTAGATTTCACTGTCAGCCTCTTAAAATGTCTTCAGTCGAGTTTGATCAAATATCATAAAAAGTATCTTAAATGGTATAACGAAATTCTTTAATTTGGGAAAGGAAAAACAGAAATTGTGATATGGCCTAATGTGATTATTAACCTTCAAAAGGCTATCCTATAATTTTTTTTAGTTTTTTTGCAGTTGTGAGTAAAATAGATTTTACAAGAAAATACTATTTCAGTCTTTTTACTTCAAAATGTCATGTTTAATTCACTGTGTTACTTGCTGTTTCTGTGTAATTAATCCTACACCATGTTTTAATTAATTTTTTCTTCAATGATTGAATTAAATATGAGCACGGAGCACTGTTTTGCATTCTTCAGGCTCACCGTTTCAGAACAGTTTGCAGTCAGTTAATATCATGCATTTATGCAAAGCGATTGCTTATTGATCTTCTTTTGATTAATTATAGTTATTTTTATTGGTTGCTATTTGATCTCCCTCATGTTTTTGAAAGAGCAGCTAGAATTACTGTAAAAGAAAGAGATTTCAAAATAAGAGTCCCTTTTCATTTTGGTTTTGTTTATATTGAAAAGCATTGGAAAGACTAAATATTGTTTAATACATAGATTTTGCTAGTAATGGAAAAATAATCTGTTTATTGCGGTTTTTTAAACACATTTTTGTATCTGCAAACTCCAGTATAACTCAGCAAGCTTTGTAAGGCTCTTGCTATATTTGTGCGGCATGCATCAGATAGTTCATGAATAATCAAGGCCTTTTTAAAGCAAATCAGTTCATAACCATCTTGGTGAAGCCTGTAGGCGTTTATTTTCTAGTCATGCATGAACAGCTTGAATGAGGTTAGTCTGAAATCTCTAAAAGTGTATTTTTGGTCCAGCTAATGGGTGCGTGTGTTCTTTAGCAAAGCAGCTCGGCGAGTCTATTGACGGCGACGGCGTTTTGCAGCAGCAAATTGACCAGAAGTCGTTTGTTTATAATGAGATTTTCCAGCGTCCTCCAGCAGTTGTCAGTGTGAACCGAGTTTCACTGTATACTGTCTCTGCTAACATTAAGTGCACGCATAATGAAAACTCAACTTTAGCTAGTAACAAGTTTTTTGTGTTTGCATGTTTTCAAGAGTTTCTCGACTGTTATCGTCTCTGCCACCTGACAAGACCATCATTCACACTTACAGACGACTCATATTCTTTACACTTAGTGCTTGTCCTCTAGAATTCATCTTGTGGTGCATCTGGGTCCATTTTTAGATGCTAAAGTGTTTGTGTGGATTGTCAGGGCTTTAAATGATATAACAAAAGTCTTTTGATTTCAAGAGGTCTGAATATTGGGGAATTGTGATATGGCTTAATTGTATTATTACATTTCAATAGGCTGTGATTTCATTAAATAAATGTGAGCATTGCATGTTCAAAGTCAAAACATGGTTCTATTGTGCGTTTCAGAGCATTTTGCAATCACTGAATATAGTTCATAATGTTTTTTGTTTAATGTTTTGAATTTTTAAGGGATTTTATATTGAATGCTTTGGAACACAGACTTATGTTTGGTATCTTTTTAGAAGAACCTTGGAAGAAGACGCTTGGCAGATTATATTGCTGAAAATAAAAATGCAAAAAAATACTATTTTTTAATTTTATTTAAATATATATTTTCCAAAACATTTTACTCAAAAAATAGCTTTTTATTTATTTATTTGTTTATTTTTACTAAGTTTCGTACTATTCCAGTGAAGTAAAAAAAAATCTAAAAAACTAAAACATACAAAATTTCTGTCAAAATGATATATAATGAATTTTGCTGTTTACCAAAAAATCCTGAAGGAGAATGTCCAAAAATCCTGAAGGAGAATGTCCGGCTATCTGTTCGTGACCTCAAGCTGAAGCGAACTTGGTTTCTGCAGCAGGACAATGATCCAAAACACACCAGCAAGTCCACCTCTGAATGGCTGAAGAAAAGCAAAATGAAGACTTTGGAGTGGCCTAGTCAAAGTCCTGACCTGAATCCTATTGAGATGCTGTGGCATGACCTTAAAAAGGCGGTTCATGCTCGAAAACCCTCCAATGTGGCTGAATTACAACAATTCTGCATAGATGAGTGGACCAAAATTCCTCCACATCGCTGTAACAGACTCATTGCAAGTTATCGCAAACAAGGTATCGCTTGATTGCAGTTGTTGCTGCTAAGGGTGGTCCAACCAGTTATTAGGTTTAGGGGGCAAACACTTCTTCACACAGGGCCATGTAGTTTTGGATTTTGTTTTCCCTTAATAATAAAAACCTTCATTTAAAAACTGCATGTTGTGTTCACTTGTGTTATCTTTTATTCATGTTTAAATTTGTTTGATCTGAAATATTAAAGTGTGACAAACATGCAAAAAAATAAGAAATCAGGAAGGGGGCCAACACTTTTTCACACCACTGTATATATATATATCAGTACATACATTTTACTAGTAATGGCAGAATAATCTGTTGCCTTTCTTTAATCATATTAGTTTTGTATCTGCAAACTCCCGATATGGGTAGACCTTTAATTCATGTGTATCAATATATTAGTGCATACCAATTTCAGTGCATATGTACGTATAAAATAAAACATGTTTTATTATTTTAAACTTGCAGTTCCCCTGTTTTTCTGATGGGCAGTATTAAGTCCTCATTGAATATGTGCCATAGCCTGTTTAATTCAAGTGTAAGAATATGAGATATATGATTTATTTTGAGCTTATGGGTCTGTTCTGTATGGACTAAAGTTAATAGTTTGTGCAGGTCTTAAATAAAGTCTTATATTTGATTTTACCCTGCTTTGTATCAGGTAAATGCATACAGAGAAAATCTGTTTAACATTGTTGTTATCTGGTTCAGTTTGATATTTCATGGTGTTCATGAGAAGTTCTTTAGAAATAATGATGTCTCAGAAGTGTTGTGAAACACAAGAGCAGAATGTCTGAGCTTTTTTGTGGATTGTAGAAAGGGCAAAATACACAAAG